CTCCCGTACCCGGAGCCTCCGCTCCTGTCCGGGGTCCGTCCCCGGATTCGCATCCTCCGCCCCTGTCCGGGATCCTTCCCCGGACCCGGAGCCTCCACCCCTGTCCGGGATCCGTCCCCGAGCCCGGAACCTCCGCTCCTGTCCGGGGTCCCCTCCCGCACCCGGAGCCTCCGCTCCTGTCCGGGATCCGTCCCCGGATTCGCAGCCTCCGCCCCTGTCCGGGATCCGTCCCCGGACCCGGAGCCTCCGCTCCTGTTCAGAAGTCCGGTGCGGCCGGGCGAAAGTGCCCGTCGCGTCTCGGCCACTGCCAGCCGTGTCTGCCGCTGGCCGGACGTCGGATTAACGTACCGCGGGCCGCGGGCACAAGGCTACCCGGTCACAGCGCCGTACACCGAGACGGCGTTCCCGGCCACCTGGACACGACCGAGCAGACTGGGGAAGATCCGGTACCTGCACACGACGGAACAGACATGAAAGAGTCTCTGCAGCGTCACGAGAGGACAGAGATGGGCTGAGAATCTATGTAGACTTATTCTGGAGCAGATCACGGCGGGCATGTACAAACCGTTCTGCGACAGGATATCTGTCCAGACAGGTGCCTAAAGTCGGAGCCAGCGGCAGTATCTCCGCGGAAGAGGACCACGGAACAGGCCGCGACATGGAGTCTGGCCGGAGTCAGCTGCGGCGACCTGTCGGCCCAGATGTGTCAGCACGGCCCGCGCGACAGGACCTGCTCGGGGAGTGGCGCAGCGGCACCAGCGCCGAGTCACGGCGCAGCCGGCTGCGTGCCGTGCCGAGTCACGGCAGGGAAGACGGCGCCACCCGGCCGGCGGCGCGTCTGGGTCAGCGCCAGGCGTGTCACGTCCGCGCCGCCACCCGAGCGTGACGTGACACCCGGGTGTCAGCTAACGCCCGCGGCGAGAGCGTGTCATGCCACGCGCCCGGTGGTCACCGACGGGCGGGGCGCCGAGCGTCTCGTGCTGTATGCCAAATCACTGGCGTCATTTTAATGGTACCCGGACATCTACAACAGCACGCGATGGTGCATGGGGCCACACACCTTGTTCCGACAGAACACGAAGCTGCAGGGCCCGGCCGTGCATGGGGCCGGAGGGTGCGGCTCAGCGCCGCACTGGCTCGGTCCCCGCAGCAGTGCAGCCACCGCCGCCGCCGCCGCTGCCGCCGCCGCCGCCGGGCCTTGCCCTGGAAGTGGGCTAGTGAAATTTGGGGTCAGCGGCGGCGGCGGCGGCGGCGGCGGCCGCGGCGGCTCCGTTCAGGCGGCGCGCGTGGTAGCTACAGGAGCGGCGCCGGCCACGGCATCGTGGAACGCCAACGGCCGGCCGGTGTGCTGAGGCGGGATGTCGTCAAGACGAGCGATATGATGCTGAGGCGGGATGTCGTCGATATGATGCTGAGGCGGGATGTCGTCAGGACGAGCGATATGATGCCGAGGCGGGATGTCGCTAAGACGAGCGATGTGATGCTGAGGCGGGATGTCGTCAAGACGAGCGATATGATGCTGAGTCGGGATGTCGTCGATATGATGCTGAGGCGGGATGTCGTCAAGACGATCGGTATGATGCTGAGGCGGGATGTCGTCAAGACGAGCGATATGATGCTCAGGCGTGATGTCGCCAAGACGAGCGATGTGATGCTGGGGTGGGATGTCGTCAAGACGATCGATATGATGCTGAGGCGGGATGTCGTCAAGACGATCGATGTGATGCTGAGGCGGGATGTCGTCAAGGCGAGCGATACGATGCTGAGGCGGGATGTCGCCAAGACGAGCGATGTGATGCTGGGGTGGGATGTCGTCAAGACCATCGATATGATGCTGAGGCGGGATGTCGTCAAGACGATCGATGTGATGCTGAGGCGGGATGTCGTCAAGACGATCGATATGATGCTGAGGCGGGATGTCGCCAAGATGAGCGATGTGATGCTGGGACGGGATGTCGTCAAGACGATCGATATGATGCTGAGGCGGGATGTCAAGACGATCGATGTGATGCTGAGGCGGGATGTCGTCAAGGCGAGCGATACGATGCTGGGGTGGGATGTCGCCAAGACGAGCGATATGATGGAGCGCGGGACGCGCAGTCAGATACTTAATGTCGTGTTTCGTTGGTAGCTGATGAGGTAAGAAAAACCGCCAGGGTGCGCGTTGACACTTATGTCAGGACTGGTTATTGGAAGTGCCGTCATAAATCAAGTGGGCAGCAACCGACCAGGTAACACAAGTATCGGACAACTGTGGTCAAGACAACGGCGTTTATAGCCGACAACAGTCCTAGCTGTCTACAGTACCGGTTAGATAAATAACGGCGCAAATAATATTGTGTCTTAGTGACGCAGCCTCAACATTAGTCACGGAGGAACGTCCGCTGCCAAGCAAGATGGAACCCACAGCCATAATGCGATGAGGGGAGAGTGGCAATAACTGAGCCACGCGGCACGCGAGGGTCGTTTCCAGGGACCGCAGTATTGCGCCGCCCCCTCCTCTGATACCGCCGAGGACGCACCCTCATTAGCGGCCTTGTGATTGCGCGTGTGACAAACGACCCGTTTGACGTAATGATTGGGAGCCCATTCGGTTTCGGTGCGTCGCCGCTATGCCGTCATTTCGTGGGCAGTGGCGTTTTAAACTGGAGCAGACATCTGGCCAGCACCCAAGGAACCGGCCAAGGACTCGTTACGCTGCCAACGGCCGATTACCGGCCGCAGGGCGCGGTCTCCAGCTGCGCGGCGGCGGTGCGGACAGCCGGCAGCAGCCGCCGACGTCGGCAGCAGCCGCCGATGAGGCAGAGGCGCAGCAGGCAGCAGCCGCCGACACAGGGGCGCAGCCGGCAGCAGCCGCCGATAAGGCAGAGGCGCAGCCGGCAAATGCTGCGGCTCTCTGCAAGGAAGGACTTTCAGGATAGCCAGTCTCCACTGACGTCTCTCTCCTTGCCAATTTACATGTTTAGACTACGTTTATGTTCGAAAATTGATCAGGCCTTGCTGAAGGAGAATTGGATTGCCCCATGCGTTCTTCGACCCACACCCGGCGGAAAGTCACTCACTCGCGAACATTCGGGAGGAGTGGCGCTCCGGGGCCGGCTGCTGTGTAGTGTGACGATAAGCATGTTCTAATAAAGTTCTACAGCTAAACGTCTGCACAAAGCTTAGAACGTTCTATCTCTTGACACTTAAGGCTTTTAGCATTTGACGACAACATGTTTGTGACAATGACATCCGTTTAGTCTTGTTTCTGATCAAAATATCGCCACTGCTGGTGCCTGAATGACAAGGTGCGTAGAAACGCTGGTGGCGAGTTTTACGTGGTTTATTAGAGCGAAGGCAAAGCATGCACCGGGACGCACTTTTTTCGTGAGACATTTCGGGCGAGCGATATACGCAGTGTTGTGTTGGTGTGTTGAGGGAATCCCTTTTGCGGGGACGTTCGGCACCGGCCAGCCAGGGGGAGAAGGCAACCATACAGCGCAGGCCAATGATAAAAGCAGCCTTACGTAGGTGGTAAAACATTGACCATTCTCAGGCAGGCGTCAAAGAAAAATTGGACATTCCTCAACAGCATGTGTTCAAGATAATGCGAGTAAAGCATCGCCGTTAGGAAAACGCTTCCGTTGCAAGCGAGATACAACGTCTTATTTGTAGCCGAGATACACAGATGGGAGCAGAAGGTAACCTGTCGAGAACTGAAGGAATCGCTGGGACTCTGAAGCCAAGCGAAGTCACGGCGATTCTGGACGACGGTTATTTTCCGTTAGACCGCTCAGATATTCCGACTAACAAAGGGTTCTAACAGTGCAGAGAGAGAGAGAGAGAGAGAGAGAGAGAGAGAGAGAGAGAGAGAGAGAGAGAGAGAGAGGAGAGAGAGAGAGAGGGAGAGAGAGAGAGAGAGAGAGAGAGGAGAGAGAGAGAGAGAGAGAGAGAGAGAGAGAGAGAGAGAGAGAGAGAGAGAGAGAGAGAGAGAGAGAGAGAGAGAGAGAGAGAGAGAGCACCGACAGGGACATTCGGTATCTGAGAAGAGGAGTGCACAAATAGGACATTGTTTGAGGAACCATTCCGCAAACTATGAAATTAGCAAATGTGCTATGATCTACAGGACCACTGTGAACCAGCCTTCATTCAGAAAAGAGTAGCTAACTGCAATTAAAGATGTCTACGTGTGCTAAATCGAGAACACCACTCAGTATGCAAAAGGAGGACAATACGGAAAGATACACTGTTTGGTGCCATGCTCTAAGGTGAGTCCAGATACCTAAACTTTGTGTCCATGCTAGGTAGACAAGAGGACACAAAAGACTGCACCTTGGCGTCCCTGCCCGGGAGACGATTGAGAGAACTCTAAAAAGCCACTCCAATTTACTGGCAGTTGCACGTTTGACGACGTTGACTTCCATGCTTTGATTAAAACAAAGTGCGCTGGGGTCCTAAAAAGATGACTGAAAGCACGGCGAGCCATTCACCCACGAGCCTGCGATGGCGCCTTATTGTACGACAGATAACGTCGCGGTGGGGCCGGACCTGGTCTGGCCTGGTCTGGCCTGGTCTGGCATGTCATAGCGTCGGGAGCAGTGTTGCAGAGCGAGGCCCGATCTCAGTGGAAGGGCCGCGGCAGAATCAGAAGGATGTAGCAGGGAGGTCACGGCAGCATCAGAGAGAAGCGGCAGCGAGGTCCCGGCGGTATCAGAAGGGTGCAGCAAGGGGGTCCTGACAGCCTCAGAGGGATGTTACAGCAGGGAAGTCCCGGCAGCTTCAGAAGGATGCAGCAGGGTGGCCACAGTAGCATCACAAGGAGGGGTGAGGGAGGGGGGGGGGTGGTGGTACCGGCAGCACCAGAAAGATGCAGAAGGGAGATCCCGGCAGGATCAGGAGGCAGCAGGGAGGTCACGACAGCATCAGCAGTGTGGGGTTCGCGCGATGCTCGACGGCCGGCGGCAACCGGGGCCAGCTGTCGCATTTTGACGTCACTGAGGGAGCACGATAAGCGACGGATGACAGACTCGTACGAAAAAACGTACAGCCCCGTCCCGCTCGCTCCTGGAGCAGGAGCGAGCGGGACGGGGCAGGAGCAGGCCCCGGGGGCCTGCTCCTGCCCCGTCCCGCGCGCTTGCATGTCACGGAGACCTGCTCCTGCCCCGTCCCGCACGCTCGCATGTCACGGAGGCTTGCTCCTGCCCCGTCCCGCACGCTCGCATGCCGCGGAGGATTGCTCCTGCCCCGTCCCGCGCGCTCGCATGCCACGGAGGATTGCTCCTGCCCCGTCCCGCACGCTCGCATGCCACGGGGGCTTGCTCCTGCCCCGTCCCGCACGCTCACATGCCACGGAGGATTGCTCCTGCGCCGGTCCACGCGATCGCCCTGTTTTTCCTCCAAAGCCAAGCAATATGGCTCTCTTTGCGCCTCCCCGGCACAGGCGTGACCCAGTCAGATCAGGGGTGCTCAGAATTTCTCACAGCTATCACGTCTGATGCTGAACGCCAGAATACCACCGATCGGAGGATCCGAGTGTGCTTAAAGCGGGAGGTGCGGGCATTAGCGCGTATGTCATGTGTTGTATTGTTGTGTTGTATTGTATTGTGAAAAGCGTGCGCCAGCCGAACTGCGTGGCGGGACACCGAGGATAAGACAACTGGACAAACACGAGCTGCACGCGAGAGCTCTCGTGCGGTCTAGCTCACGAGAACCTGGCTAAATTTCAGCTGATGATTCAATTTAGACTGGAATATCATGCAGAAATGTGATATGATGTAGGCATTCCATGCTTGGGGAGCGCTCATACACCGGTCATAAATTATCAAAAGTCGAACACGTTTGAGCTCGAGGGCCTCGAGGGCATTAGCGGGCCGTCATTAGCTGACTTTGGCTAATGACTACTTTAAGCCTTTTCATCTATGATTTTTCCCTACCTATCACATAACACAATTCCTTCGGGTCTGCACCACCTCTTCGCCTGCTTTCTTACGTTTTTTTTCATCTTCCTAGTTGGGAGTGCCGCGACTTGATTTTATGTTTTCTGGTGTTAACGTACGGTTTACTGCGTCGCTGGGATTGAGGGAGCGGCACTCCTGGTTACCTGTTCTTGGGTAACGGCATAGAAAAAAGGGCGCAAGGTGATCAAGTTTTTGTTTGTCATTCCTCTCCTTATTTTTGATATTTTATTCTGGCAAGTGACTAGTGAAGAGGGAAACGCGACAGTCGGCTGAGCGCATGCTTGTATTAGATCACTATGCACAAACACACAACACTCAGGCTATCAGTTTTGTTTCTCGCACCATGGGATCCCAGGGCATCCCGGATCTGTCACGACAGTGCTACTGGTGCTGACAAGTTCAACACGACGAAACACCTGTCACTGTGTCACTTTCGATATGACGTCCGTCATCTGCAGGGTGACATCAGCGTGAGGTAGCGCGCAAGGAACGCGTCACGTCCTCGAATTTCTAAAGATGAGCGAGTGCCTTGCTCGCGTGACAGTGCGCGAACGCTCGCGAGTGAGGCCCATGACCGCTCTGCGGCTACACCGCGTACCAGCGGAACGGTCGTTACGGTGTGACCCCTCAACAGCCGGCGGCTAATGACCTAACCGGCGGCCCGCCGCCTTTTTGTGGGTTCCACAGCGAGCGCCAGCCGATCATGGACGTCGATGTACCGCGTTACCACACCGTCGCCTACAGCATAGCGTCGGACGAGTCTCTTAATCGGGCGGCATGCCACGAGCGTGTGGCCGTCTGTGAGGCGTGTGACGTGTGGGCCTGGCTGCGACACCCCTGGCGACATAGTGGGGTGTCCGGTGCTGGTGTGCCCCGGTCCGGCGCGGCGATGACACAGCGGGGTGTCCGGTGCTGGTGCGCCCCGGACCCGCGGAGCGGCGTTACAGCGGGGTGTCCGGTGCTGGTGTGCCCCGGCCCGCGGGGCGGCGTTACAGCGGGGTGTCCGGTGCTGGTGTGCCCCGGCCCCGCGGGGCAGCGGTACAGCGGGGTGTCCGGTGCTGGTGTGCCCCGGCTCCGCGCGACGGCGGCACAG